CACACACACACACACACACACACACACACACACACACACACACACACATATATATATATATATATAGTTTTTTATTTTCGTGCAATTGAGAATATTCATCCAGTCGGGGAATAGCGAGGCAACGGAGAGGATATCTATGGAATAAATTCGAAAGCAATAAAGGATAAGGAGAGAAAATATAAGATAGAAAAGGAGTGGTCCATATTCAAAATGTTGGAACTAAATTGAAAAAAATATTCTGTCCAGACACAGCACGTAACGTCAAACTATCGGTCGTCGCGTCGTCATTCACCTCATTGGCGGTCGACTTGACGATCAGTAGTTGTTGGCTGTCCGAACGTACAGACTCAATATTTTTTCCCTAAATTGAGAGAATATATTATATTTGTCATACGTACAGATGAGAGCATGAATTGCAACATGCCGCTGAACACACAACATAATGGGGTCAATGTCCGCAGACTTACTGAACAAAATATTTTATTCTAAATTGATCCATTTAAACTATAGGAGCATTTACATTACGTATCACTCAATTCTTTGTATCACTCAATTCTTTATATGGATTATATATATAAATTGAAGTTGAGATACTAGATATGTAAATATATAATATTTGTATGGTATACATGTAAATCCTCCTAAAATATATTTGGAATATTTCAAAAAAAGAAAATATGAAAGAATATATATATATATATATATATAACTTATGTTTTCCTTTAAAAGTTAACATTAATTGCCATTCTTAGAGCCCTTAAACCCTCCCTTCCATACATTTCAACCATGAGTCCACATCTCCATTCATTAGAGCCAATAATTCCATTGTGGCCCCCTAAGTTTAGAAAAATTTCTTAAAAGCTATTTAATCTTTTGCCCACTCCTATTCTTGCAAATTAATGATACATCCTTCAATTATAATTAGAAATATTTACAAATATACCCCTCAATTCTTACATATTTACACATCTGATACTTAAACTTTCATATTGATATTTACCCCTCTGCAAGCTTTTGTATGTAAAATATTAATGTTTAAGTGCTAAATATGTAGATATATAAGAATCATGATGCATGCATGCCAATGCCCCCTAATAATCAACTCAAAAACTCACTTTACCAGTATTTACATACATACCCCGCAATGGTATGAATTTGCATATGTGACACAACGCTCAAATCATTAATATGACATTAGAAATGTCACTTTTTTTACACATTTACATTTTCATATATGGATTTATGACCATATAATATCATACATGTAAATATGGAAGTTCAGATATTAAATTTATAAATACATAAAGAATTGTGTGGCATGCATGTAAATCTCTAGTTGACTTCAATTGAAACATGACTTGACCTTAAGTCCAATTTGTCTGTTAGATTTGTAAATTCATAGGAATGAATGGTATGTATGTAAATCTTCCATATTATAATGTGTAATACCATTTTTGCATGGTTAGACTTGCGCTGGGAGTTCATGACAAAACATATGAATTGAATTTATATTGATTTAAATGATAATATTTTTTAAAAAATAAAATATAAAATACATAAAAAATGAAATTTAATTCTTATTACTAATTTAAAATACAACATTAATAGATATAGTTCAAATCAACATGTCAGTCAACTAAAAATCAATCACCTTGTTTGTATTTAGAATATATGATTAATTATTGGACTGCCATAGCCTTGATTTATTTCAAATAAAATAATAATAATAATATCCTAAAAAAATAAAAAGTAAAATTAAAAAAATAAAAATAATCTAGAAAAACCTAAACCCTTAATAGTAACACGATCAATAGGCAGCTACGATTAGGAGTGTGTAAGCCAATTGGAGCTCGGCTAAAAAGCTAAACTAAAATCAGTCTCAACTCAACTCATTACCTGGTATGAATCAGCTCGTTTAAAAAATTATTTATATAAAATACTTCAAATATATTTAATTAAAAAAAAGTAATCACTAAATTATTAAAAGTATTAATTACTAGATTTTATTTACCTCCTTTGTTGTCGTTTTCATATTTATGTATTTTCTAGTTGGTCCAGTTCTGAATTTATGACTTTCCTTTATTTGAATCTTGTAATTGTTGGGTAATGTTGAGACTCAGTCCACCGAAATTTAATTAACTTCCTAATTAAGAATCTCATATACCGCTCACCTACTTTCTCACTTATCGCTCACCTACCTCCCACCTACCTCCCACCTACCTCCCACCTACCTCCCACCTACCACTCTAATGATTTTTATAAATAGCCTCTTTTGGCTTAAAGGAGAAGCCAAGCCAAGTAAGGTCAAACCAAGTCCTCTTAAGAGCTAAGAGAAAGAGAGGAAGAGAGAGAGAGGAAGGGAGAGAAGAAAATAGGGATTTTCTTGTGAACATCGAGTCGCTCGACGGAGTAATTCCTCGAAGAAATAAAATCCTCTGCAGCTTCATGGACATAAGCAAATTTATCGAACCATGTAAATCTGTGTGTCGCTCTAGTGTTTTTCTATGTGCAATTTTACTCGCTCCATTTTTCGCTTTATTGTCGTCGTTTTTCACAACAACTGACATCAGAGCTTTGGTTTGAATCTAAGGAAGAAAGATGGGCGGAAACGAAGTGATGATATCGGGGATCGAGAAGTTCAATGACACAGATTTTCTTTACTGGAGGATGCAGATAAATATCTACCTCTATGGGAAAAAACTTCATCTTCCATTACTGAGAAAGCGACCAAAAAAGATGGACGAGGTGGACTGTAATCTGTTAGATCGACATGTATTGGGGGTTATACGATTAACCCTATCGAGATCAGTTGTCCACAATGTCATCAAGGAGAGGACTACTACAGATCTCATGGCGGCTTTATCAGGTATGTATGAAACGTCATCGACGAATAACAATGTGCATCTGATGAAAAAGTTATTCAACTTGAAGATGGCGGAAGATGTGTCTGTTGCTAAACACCTAAATGATTTCAACACTGTCACAAATCAGTTGTCGTCTGTTGAAATTGATTTTGATGATGAGATACGTGTGCTGATATTGTTGGCTTCATTGCCAAATAACTGTGAAGTCATGAGAATGACAGTTAGTAGTTTTGCAGGTAAATCTAAGCTGAAATATGATGATATTCGTGATTTGAATTTGGCTGAGGAGGTGTGCATGAAAGCCTCGTGTTCAAGTTCAGCGCTGAATGTTGATTCCAGAAGGATATCACATGACATGAACTCAAATAGAGGAAGATCAAAACCAGACAACCTGATGAAATTGTGGCAAGACTGTCCAAATAAAAAGGAACTGCAGGAATCCTAAGAAGGAGAATGATGACGCTAATGTTGTAACTGAAGAAATACATGATGCACTATTGTTGGTAGTTCACAGTTCTGTTGATGACTGGATACTAAATTCAATGACTTCCTTCCATATACCTTCCCGTCGGGAGTTAATGCAAAATCATGTTACAGGTAACTTTGGGAAGATATATCTGGCTGATGGAAACGCTCTGGACGTGGTAGGATGAGAGACATTGATATTGCACTCCCTAACAAGAGTAAATGGATTTTGCAAAAGATCAGTCGCGTTCCTGAGTTGAAGAAAAACCTCATCTCTGTTGAGCAGCTCAATGAGGGTTGTCATTCAAAAGTATTCTCAGATAACACCTGGAAGGTCACCAAAGGAGCATCAGTACTGACTCGGGGTGATAAAACTGACACACTATATATGACTACAGGTTTATTCAGGAGATGACACATGAGTCAGAGGTGCATTATGGGGAAGTAGAAGAAGGGTCAATTTTCTGAAAAGTGGTAGAGCGTCAAAGGCAGAAAAACTGGACCTTGTACAGACAAATGGTGGAGAACCACAGAGTTATGAAGAAATCTCGCAATATGAGAATTCAAACAAGTGGGAGCTGACCAAGAAGGAGGAGAAGGATTCCCTGCTTATTTACCATGGAATCAAACTTGAGAGCTGACAGAACTTCCACCAAGGAAGAAGACATTGCACAACAAGTGAGTGTACCGGGTGAAGACTGTGTTTGGTGGCAGTAAGAGGTACAAGACTGAACTTGTTGAAAAGAGCTTTCAGTAGGGGCAGGATATTGCTCATGTAGTGGGAGTTGTAAGCAGATACATGAGTAACCCAGGAAAGAGTTCGGTGGTACAAGACTGCGTTAACGGTGATATGTCAACTAAGGGTATTACTCGTGAGAAGTTGAAATTGTGCTCAACTTCAGCTGGTCTTCTGGCATAAAGAAATGGGCTTCGAGTTGCAGAGGTGGAGGATATCATGTTTGAGAAAAATGTAGGTACAACTAGTATATAATGCAACCAGTACATGATGCAGTCAGCGTCCTACTCTCCAAGTGGGAGAATTGTTGGGTAATCTGGATACCCTGTCCACTGAAATTTAATTAATTTCCTAATTAAGAATCTCACATACTGCTCACCTACCACATCCCACCTTCCGCTCACCTACCTCCCACCTACCGCTCGCATGGTTTCTATAAATAACCTATTTTGGCTTAAAGGAGAAGTCAAACCATGTCCTCTTGAGAGCTAAGAGAGAGAAAGAGAGAGAGAGAGAGAGAGGAAGGGAGATAAGAAAATATCAAATTTCTTGTAAACGTCGAGGCGCTCGACGGTGTAATTGCTCGAAGAAATAAAATCCTCTGCAGCTCCGTGGACATAGACAAATTTGCCGAACATGTAAATCTGTGTGTCGCTTTGGTATTTTTCTACGTGTAATTTTACTCGTTTCATTTTTCGCTTTATTGCCGTTATTTTTTACAACAGTAATATATATTTATACCTAATCTTCATACCAATAAAATTACGTAGCTATATGCTCTAAAAATCTGCCATGATATATTTCTAGGGAAAAATTATTCCATACGGACACCCCAATCTCTACTGTTCATCACAACAAAGATGTATTTTGATGGGTGGGCCCCATTTTTAATTTTTTTTTTAAATTAATGGACGGTGGAGATCGAACACCGTAGGCATTTCTACATACGGGTATACTTAAATGAAGCCGAGTTTCGCTTTATGTCTTTGGATATCTGTGAAGCACTCTGGTTACGTATCATGCTCCATGAATTGCGTATGTCAATCTCTGCTCCTATACAACTATTTTGTGATAATAAGACAGACATTAATATTGCCTATAATATGGTCCAACATGTACAGACCAAGCATGTGGAGATTGACAGACACTTCATTAAGAAGAAATTCAATTCAGGGGAGATTTGTATTCCATTTGTCCCGTCAAATAATCAATTAACAAATATTCTTATCAAGAATCTTCCTCGACCATCGTTTGACGACTTTAAATCCAAGTTGAATATAATGAACATCTATGTTTCAACTTGAGGAAAATTATTAGAATTATTAGCCTAATTATTAGGCTAATTACTATTACAGTTATTACTTGATTTTATTTGCTTAATTATTTTTGTTCTAATATTTATGTATTTCCTAGTTTGCCTATTTTTGAAGTTATGTCTTTCCTTTATTTGGATATTGTAATATGTATTTGTACTTCTTCCTATCAATAAAAGTACACAACTCTATTCTCTAAAAATCTGACAATAATCTTAAGGAAAGACTTGACAAATCCGAAAATTTGGGCAAGAAGCCACTTTTCATAAGTTTATTTATCATTGCATTTACATACATTCACCCAATTCCTATGTATTTACGTATCTAACCCCTAAACTACACTTTTACATTTATACCACCCATATCTTCCATATCACATAAAAACATATCGGTATTTAAGTCTAAAAAAATTGAAATACACATTTACATGCATAGCTAAAGATGCTATACATAGTGAAAATTAAAATTTTAGGTGTTAAATATACATAAATAAGAACTAAGTAGTATGCATGTAAATCTTCTGAAAACAATTGTTGCATTTAATGATAAGAATCGTCCCCTCCATTGAACAGAAGCATAAATGGAAAGGAAAGAGAGAAAAAGGGGGAAAAGAAACAGAAAGATGAGAGAGATGAAGAAACACAAAGCAAGCATGAGAGTGTTGACCTCATTTTGAGGTCATTACTCTTTTCCTTAGGATCCTAGGATCTGGATCTAGGGGTTCCTATTGACTATCTTAGAAAACTAGTATTGGAATCCATCACCTTAGAAATTCCAGTCACTTTCTATTTCTCTTGTGATGTCTCGCATTTCGCATTGATGATGTCTCGCATTGATGATCTCAAAACCATCGTCGTATGGTCGAGGGGTTAAGGACTATCATGTGAAGATTCAAGGAAAAGTTCTCAATAGGATCTCAAGTCCTAAGAAAACCTCTTCAGGACTTTATCATCACACACAAAAAATGCATAAAATTCATTAAGTTGCACAAGATAGGACTAAAATAGAGCTTAAAAGATTGGTGAAAATACGAACTTCTCCGGACAACCTCCGATGACGATGACGAAATTGACTGTGTCAATGCGTCCGGGACATCAATTATAATTAGAAAAGACACTCATATTGTCATAATTTCGCACACAAGCGTGTCAACGCGTCCGGGACATCAATTATAGTTAGGAAAGACACTCATATTGTCATAATTTCGCACACAAGCAAATCACACGCAAATCGATGAATTCGTCAAAGTGACATCCGACGACGAAACGGACCACGCCAATGCGTCTAGAACTTCAAAATTACCTAAAAAGGACATCCATTTTGTTATATTGTGACGCACGAATAAAAAGAACGAATAAAAATTTACAAATCAATGAAATTTTTATTTTTGTCTATGACGAACGTATAAAAATTTACAAATCAATGAAATTTTTATTTTTGAAATATTAAATACTTTTATATTTATATTATTACTTATAATATAATTTTAACCCTAAACCTTATTTACGCCATTTCCCGCACACTTAACCTTCAATTGAGCCCCGCGGCTCGATCAGGTGTTTAGCTCGCTCTCTCTGCGTGCCCTAGCTCCCTTGGACGATCCACGCGGTCGCCTCCCTTCTCTCGACTCTTCTCCTTCCTCGCGTGGCCGCTCGACCTTTCGACTCTCCAATTGCAGGAGCTGGGTTGGCCGACCCTTCTCTTTCTCGAGACTTTAAAGGCTTCTTAGGGTACTTTTCTGGGTTGTTGAAAATTTTCTGAGAGAAAAGAAAGGCTGAGGTTTTCGTTAGTTGCTATTCGAGGCTTTTAGAAGAAGAAGGCTCTGCCGAAGTTCCTTCTTGACTAGGTTCTTATGTGCTGGGTGTTTGAAAGCTTGGTGGTCTTTTTTCTGTTGTTTTCTTTTAGGAAATCTCGAGCAAGGTACTTTTTCCTTCTCTTCTCTGTTTCGTTTACCTGCTCGACACATATTGGAGATGCTAAAATAGGGAGTGCATGCATGAGGCTTTGTTTTGTCTTAACTGATTTTTCGTAATGACATTGATATTAAGTATTGGGCCTTTAATACTTTTATTAGATCTAATTTAGAAGTTCTATGTTGATTAATTGAAATAGCAGTTTAGGGAAACCATGTTTTGATCCATTGTCACATGCAAATCTTCTTCTTACGCTTCTATCATTTTTGTATCTGTATACTGAAAGTTGTAGCATTCTTTCTTTTCTCCTTGTTGAATCAATTTATTGTTAAAGGAAGAGTAATTTTAGGGGAAAGAATTGCTTGCGTTTCTTTTCTGCTCGAAATATTTAGGAAGCCACAGTTATAAACTCTGAAATAATATTTGCTCATCAAGAATTCATGCTGAAAATGAAATATTGATGCTTTTTATTATTGTTATTTCTGTCCAAATAAATGTTGGAAATTCTGCTATGTTTTGACCCATTTGATGGGCTCAATTTTGACTTCTTTTGGGATTAAACGTAAGCTAGAAATTTTGCTCTGTTTTCCCCATTTGGTGGCTCGATTTTGGTTGAATTTTAGCTGGAAGTGTTGCTTTTCTTTCTTCCCAATGTATTAGACTCATTTTGGCTCAAAAGTTTATCTGTTGTTGGCTCTCTTTTGCTGGGTTTAGTTGAGCTGAAATCGTTTTTTTTATTTTTTTATTTTGTTCCATTTGTTAGACTCTTTTTTTTTTGGCTGGAACTCTATTTGTTTTGCCCCTCTGTTGGGCTCGGGTTTACCTTTTATGGTTATTTGTTTTTACCCTTTGATTGGGCTCGGGTGTACCTGCTATGACTATTTTTGTTGCCCCTTTTGTTGGGCCCGGTTTATTTGTCATGGTTTTTTCTGTTGCCCTTTCCTGCTGGCCTTAAGTATTGGGCCTTCAATACTTTTATTAGATCTACTTTAGAAGTTCTATGCTGATTAGTTGAAATAGCAGTTTAGGGAAACCATGTTTTGATCCATTGTCACATGCAAATCTTCTTCTTACGCTTCTATCATTT